TGTCTACAGAGGCCCAAGTGTTCTGTTCTTCGATAGAAGCCTTCATTTCATCCATTGGTAAGGATGTGATTACTTTATCCAATTGTTTAACAAAAACTGAACATTTTGCCAGCAAGGAGGGAGACGGTGATATGTTGAATTGTCAATCTCGCAATGTATTCATTGCTGTGTTGTCCATAAGTTTAGCTGCTTCATTGTCATCGGTGCAGACGACAATAAAGGAGTCCTTGGGTGAGTGGATCGTTGTGAATTAAGATGTAGGCAGGTCCTTATAGTGGCAGCAAGTGATAGTTTAGTGGAATCATTTACAACACCACTGGCTGATTTTATCTTAACACGATGTGCAAACATCGTCAAACAGGTAGAGGTTCCCCTCCCCAATGGGAATCATAGGGAGACTGTGATGATGAGAATAGGAGCTACTGTGACTACGCACTGCAAGGTCAGTGTGATGGGTATCTCATGGAACGACACCTTATTCCTCTGTGAGGTTTGTCGGGTCTCTATTTCAGTTTTTTACTTGTGGATTGTCCAATTTACCAGCGAGCTGGCAGGATTTGCCTCCAACTCTGCCCTACCGCTCTTACCTTATCTTCCCTTTTTGCAGACAACCCTGCCTTTGACTTACGATCACTTTTTGACTGTCAGCAACTGCTTTACTATAGAGACTTTGACAGCCCCTAATGTCCCTTTCAGCCATTTTCTACCCTTACCTCTGATCTCTCCACCTAGCTGTTTATAGCCCTAACACTATTTCCTGCCCCATAGCACTGCATGACCCTTACCAGTTTAGCCCTTTATTATTTGATTATAATTGCCCTTAGACACATCTCCATGGCCTTTAGCCTCCTTGCTGTAGCATTTACAACCTATGCTTCACACCCATGGTACTGCAATGCTCTCTTTTTTTTTTCTCCATAGGTACCTCAGTGCAACACCTTTTTTCCTTCACTGAGTCTATGGTTAATCTCGTCCTTCATAAACCCATCCACTGACAATTATTATAATCATGGGGGAGCACTAAACCTGTAGGATTATACAGCACGTATGGGAGGATGGAAGGTATTCAGGTTCAATTCAGGGAACTGGAGCACAGATCCAATTCCCTAGATCAAGAGCCCCTCACCAGCATCAAGGAACCTCCCTTGAGGGGCGAATCCACTGACAAGTCTACTTCCAAATATCTGAGCACATTCACTTCTTTCCTCCAATGTAATTCCAATTTTCCTTTACGTAACTTGTTTGGTACCCTCATCACCTTACTCTCTCATCTATGTTCACTGTTCAAAATCATACTATACAAGGTATTATTGTACAGGAAGAGCATATTAATTTTAAGGGGAATTTTTGATAAATGAAGCGCTAAACCAATAAGGGTCATACAGTGCAGCTGGGCAGGGAATAATACAGCTGCATTGGGTGGCAAGAGGGAGAGATATTAGGAGGGTTATACAGTAAGATTAGTGTGGCCGAGGCAAAGGAGAGTAGTCTCCAACCACGGCATTGATGACTAGAAACCTACACTTGGTTTAATAAGTAATTTGTTTTGTAGCAGATCAGACCAACGTTGTTGCTAATAGTTGCAAAGGTGGGCAGAAATTACAGCAAAATAAGTGTGAATGGAACACCTCTATGTGAAACTGGGAGGTCGCGTACTGCTGACCATGCAGCAGCGTCTGCCTATTCATAGCCCTGCACGTCAACATGACCAGGGACAACAAAAAACAATATTCTTGTGCTTGCTAGAGATATGGTGTAACCAAAGTTGGATACAAAGAACCAAAGAACCAGGGGATGAGGTGAATCAAATTCTTATTGCCTGCTTTGCAGGCAATAAGAAAAGTAGACACGATAAGAAAATTTGAAAATGCCGGCACAGGCATAGATGCAATACAGTGGACCCCCGCATAACGATGGCATCACATAGCGATTTTTCCGCATACCGATTACTTTTATCGCAAAATTTTTGCCGCGCATACTGATTAAAAACCCGCTTACCGATTTTCGTCCGAGACGCGTCCAATGTGCCCTCAGCCAGCCTCACATGTGCCGGCCGTCCCATTGTTTACCAGCCAGCCTCCGCGGTAACATCCAAGCATACACTCGGAATATTTCGTATTATTACAGTATTTTCGGTGCTGTTTCTGGAAAATAAGTGACCATGGGCCCCAAGAAAGCTTCTAGTGCCAACCCTACACCTCAAAGGGTAAGAATTACTATAGAAATGAAGAAAGAGATAATTGATAAGTATGAAAGTGGAGTGCGTATAGCCGACCTAGTCAAGCTGTACAAGAAACCCCAATCAACCATCGCTACTATTGTGGGCACCAGAAAGACAATCAAGGAAGCTGTTCTTGCCAAAGGTTCAACTGTGTTTTCGAAACAAAGATCGCAAGTGATGGAAGATGTTGAGAGACTCTTATTGGTGTGGATAAATGAAAAAACAGCTAGCAGGAGATAGCATCTCTCAAACGATCATATGTGAAAAGGCTAGGAAGTTGCATGAGGATTTAATTAAAAAAATGCCTGCAACTAGTGATGATGTGAGTGAATTTAAGGCCAGCAAAGGTTGGTTTGAGAGATTTAAGAAGCGTAGTGGCATCCATAGTGTGATAAGGCATGGTGAGGCTGCCAGTTCGGACCACAAAGCGGCTGAAAAATATGTGCAGGAATTCAAGGAGTACATAGAAACTGAAGGACTGAAACCTGAACAAGTGTTTAATTGTGATGAAACAGGCCTGTTCTGGAAGAAAATGCCAAGCAGGACCTACATTACTCAGGAGGAAAAGGCACTCCCAGGACATAAGCCTATGAAAGACAGGCTTACTTTGTTGATGTGTGCCAATGCTACTGGTGATTGCAAAGTGAAGCCTTTATTAGTGTATCACTCTGAAACTCCCAGAGCGTTCAGGCAAAAGAATATCCTCAAGGCTAATTTGTGTGTGCTGTGGAGGGCAAACAGTAAGGCATGGGTCACTAGGGAATTTTTCTATAACTGGTTACACCATGCATTTGCCCCCAATGTGAAAAATTACCTAACTGAAAAGAAATTAGAACTTAAGTGCCTCCTGGTGTTAGACAATGCCCCTGGTCATCCTACAGACGTGGCAGAGCGACTTTATGGGGACATGAGCTTCATTAAGGTGAAGTTTTTGCCTCCTAATACCACTCCTCTCCTGCAGCCCATGGACCAGCAGGTTATTTCCAACTTCAAGAAACTGTACACAAAAGCTCTGTTTGAAAGGTGCTTTGTAATGACCTCAGAAACTCAACTGACTCTAAGAGAGTTTTGGAGAGATCACTTTAATATCCTCAATTGTGTAAACCTTATAGGTAAGGCTTGGGAGGAAGTGACTAAGAGGACCTTGAACTCTGCTTGGAAGAAACTGTGGCCAGAATGTGTAGACAAAAGGGATTTTGAAGGGTTTGAGGCTAACCCTGAGAATCCTGTGCCAGTTGAGGAATCCATTGTGGCATTGGGAAAGTCCTTGGGGTTGGAGGTTAGTGGGGAGGATGTGGAAGAGTTGGAGGAGGACAATGAAGAACTAACCACTGATGAGCTGATAGATCAACTTCAAGAGCAAGAGGCCAGACCTGGGAAACTGGTTCAGAGGAGGGGAGAGAGAGAAATTGAAGAAGTTGCCTACTACAAAGATAAAGGAAATCTGTGCTAAGTGGCTTGAAGTGCAAACCTTCATGGATGAAAATCACCCTCACACAGCTATTGCAAGCCGTGCTGGTGATTATTACACTGACAATGTTGTGAAACACTTTAGGCAAGTCATAAAGGAACGAGAGGTACAGGCCACTATGGACAGATATCTTGTGCGAAAGAAGTCCAGTGACTCTGAAGCTGGCCCTAGTGGCATTAAAAAAAGAAGAAGTAACCCCAGAAAAGGACTTACTACCTCAAGTCCTAATGGAAGGGGATTCCCCTTCTAAACAGTAAGAAGATAATGCTCTCCCCTCCTCCCATCCCATCAATCATCACCAGATCTTCAATAAAAGTAAGTGTCATTTAATTGTGCATGCCTTTTTCAGTTTGTGTGTATTAAAATTAACATTTCATGTGGTAAAAAAAAATTTTTTTCATACTTTTGGGCGTCTTGCACGGATTAATTTTATTTCCATTATTTCTTATGGGGAAAATTCATTCGCATAACGATTATTTCGCATAACAATTATCCCTCTTGCACGGATTAAAATCGTTAACCGGGGGTCCACTGTACTGATGAGTGCTACAAGAATTGCATACAATTCAGCTGTAAAAATGCTAGCCGAGGCTAACAGATGCCCTCACACAATGCTGTCTGGAAATTGCTGCAAATCCAACACCGTCAGAAGAATTGGAACAGTCAGTGTACACTGTGATGGCATGAGAAAGACCGGAAGTGATTAAGAAAAAGAGCGAGAAGCATTTTTTTTTTTTTCTCCATAGATACCTCAGTGCAACACCTTTTTTTTCCTTCACTGATTCTGTGTTTAATCTCATCCTTCATAAACCCATCCACTGACAAGTCTACTTGCAAATATCTGAACACGTTCACTTCCATACTTCCTTCCCATGTGATATCCAGTTTTTCTTTACCTAACTCGTTTGATACCCTTATCACCTTACTCTCATCTATGTTGACTGTTCAAAACCATACTATGCAAGGTACTACTGTACAGGAAGAGCACAATTTTAATTAAGAGGAATTTTTTGACCTACAGTGGTCTTCATGCTTGGGAAGTGGAAAGCATTCAGGTTTGACCCAAGAAAGAGGACAAGTCCAGTTCCTTTGATCAAGGAGCTCATAAGCATCAAGGCACCTCTTGAGAGAACAGGAAGAACAGAAAAAATATCACTGGCCATTTGCCACTAATGTAGGATGATCCAAATGATTTATTCTCATTCATGAAAAGCTGTCTTACTAGATGTGCACAACATAATTAAAGAACCTCTAAACTGCAACATTCTCACCCATCCTCCAGAGTGCAGGCACTAGAATAAAAACCACTTAAATTTAACGTGTTTTATTGTATAAAGATTACTTTTAACAGAAACTTGGAAATAGTGAAAATTACATCTATCATTAACCAAGAGGAGCACAATGCTGTCAAGCTTCATCCCTAAAGAAAAGCTGTACATGAAGCTTAAACATAACACTAACAGAATGCTGAGTAACCCCCATGGGTTTAGCATGTCATGAATACATTTTCAAATTATAAATAAATTCCCATTCAGATTTAAAGCATCTTTTTAATATAAATTAGGTTTGGTTCAGCTGAGGGCTCCTAAAGGTGGTTTTTCTTTATAACTGAGGACAACTCCCTCGAATTATCTAGCACTAAAATATAACTACCTGCATCACAATGAAAGGGATGCACATGGCTGACATTCTTCCAAATAGGAGAATTTTTTCAGTTTTAGTAATGAATCATTTAATGATGGGTATAAAGAAAAACTTTGGATAAATTCATATCTATGAGCTACATTGTACAACCTACAACTTTTAAACTTCTTTAATTAATGCTTGTAAATCAAATCTGAAAAGCTGACTAATGAAAAACAAATGTTATAGTAATCTCAATTTTTATTTTCACAACTGTTAATCGCCCTTTTCATAGATAAAATAAATGTCAAAACTTACAAAACTTGGGAATGGATCATGTAAAGGTCAGAATGGCAGTTAGGTTGGGAATCTGGGCTGGCAAACTACACATACAAAAATTGAGTCTCCACTGACCAGCTACAATCCACTATTATACAAGTTTCCACCACATAATGGAGTATATAACTTGGCATTTGCAAGCTCATAAAAGAACATGCCAAATATTTCAGTTCTGGCAGCACTTTCGTTTTTGTCTATAACACTCCAATGAGAGTAAGACACTGAAAATTTCAGGTCTCCCATATCACCAAGTGCTGAGTTAAGCTTAAAATTTTCCACTTGATGGACAGAATAGAATTTGCTTAACAGACACTAGTGTTTTAACTTCACTACCACCATACCCTGGTCCAGGCTAATCGCACAAAACTAATCTATATAATTTGCAATCCAGCGAAAACCTTCACCATATCCTTGCCGCTTCAGAACCGAGCACATAAAAAGCTCAAGAGGGCGGCCTGGAAGTTCATTACGTGGAATTTTGTTCTGAAATATAATCAACTTTTACAGCATGTCCATGGAAAACAAAAAAATCTTGACAGTATTAAGCAGTTATAAACAACATAAATATGCATTATACAGTTATTTAAAAACAGGAATTACATGTAAATTCTCTCAAATCATACATAGTATCCTCTTCAATTAATACCACAGTGAATGAACATCACATTTCATGAAGATTTACCTTTCCTGTTGTCTGACCAAAGAGACCAAAGTAGTGCCTCAGTTCATCCTCAGAAGCAGCACCAGCTACATCTATTTTATTGCCCAGGATAACAATTGGTACATTCGAGAGCTGGTCATCCGTTAAAAGTGAATCCAATTCAGCCTAAAAGGGTACAAAAAAAAAATTACAAAGGTGTGTAATGTACATAGTTTATCTTGGGAAGACAGTTTCAAAATTTAGACTGCTAGGACCAAAGTTTAATGCAACAGAAAATTCTTTGCCCACCTCCCCCACAAAAAAAAAAAAAAGGGGGGGGGGGGAGGTTGAGGTTACTACAAGGGGATACCAAGACAATGAGAATGGTATAGCAGCAAAGGCCAAAACTACTTCACAACCACACCAGAAGAAAGATACTAGTAAAGACCAGGTAATCTGAGGAAGGAGTGTCATGAATAAAGACCAGAAGTCTGTGAAGTGTTGATAAAACAATATGAAGAGGTTTTCTCAGTGGAAACTGAAGCAATGCCAGACTACAGAGCAAGGGAAGGGGAGGGGGTTTTACCATCAAGAGAAAAATTTTTGATGGACCTGGATACACCAGAGGCAATGGGACCTGATGTGTCAGCGTGGATTATACGAGAGGCTGCACAAGCTTAAAACCACTAGCTATGATCTACAGTACATAACTTAAGATGACATGTCAGCCCAACTTGGATCATTAACTAGTCACTGTATTGTGCCTTTTTTCTTTATGATCTACATTAAGTCGACAGATACTGGACAGTTACCAAAGATCTCAGACAGCAAATGTAGTCCCTATATTAAAGAAAGGAGACAGTAACAGCAGCAGCAGCAGTGGCACCCAAGCTCCATCATTTTTTTCACCAGCCAGAGCCCATCAATGCTTCTATGATGGCCTAATTGCAGTCATAACTGTACTAAAGCACGTAGAACCCAGAATGACCCAAGATTAACAGTGATACCAACAAATCGAGAAATTGCCCATCTAAGTGAAGACTGCCCCTCAAACCCTAAGCACAGCCCCAATGCCAGACGACTACCTACTCCAAGCTCTGAACAAATATAGTTTCTCCATCTTACCACAGCAATTCCTGTACTACTATGAGATTAAATCATAGAAGAAACACCAAGAATAGCAAGAAAGCACCCAGAAATTTACTATTCCACATGATGACCCAGCAGGACGACAGCGCCTGGTCCACCCCCCCTCACCACCCACAGTGTAGCATCAACAACAACAAACATGGCTGACTCCCCCTCACCCACCAACCAAGGTGACTCATCAACAACAACACCAAGCATGACCGACTCCCCCTCTAACACTACTGCCTTCATATGATTCAACCCATCTGATACGTTCCCAGGTATGACTAACGATCCTGACACTTCAAGACTAGACAACCAAGTTCATACATTAGCTAATACTACATAGTAGAATAAATACCTACCCAAAACAGTATTGCCCTACACCAAATTGTAGCAGTCTCATACTGTAAACTACTTTTAGCAAATCACAATGTTATATTCCATAATATAACTTCAATAATTACTTTTGAACCTATTGTCCACTGTCGATAGGAATATCACTGAATCACGTTTCATAAAAAGCATTTTTGAAAATATGAATACACGTATATCCTTTAGTTTATATAAATTAGATTCATTTTTAATTAATAGAACTATTGTACAACTATAAATTTCTTAAGTGTCAAACCCCCTCAAGGAAGGTTCCTTGATGTTGGTGAGGGGCTCTTGATTTAGGGAACTGGATCTGTGCTCCAGTTCCCCGAATTAAGCCTGAATGCCTTCCACGCCCCCCCCCAGGCGCTGTATAATCCTCTGGGTTTAGCGCCTCCCCCTTGATTATAATAATAATAATTTAGTGTCAAGTAGTCAGTAAGCCATTAAATTAACCCTTTGAGGGTCGACAGGCCCTCTCAGACTCGTTCTCAGGGTCGACCAAATTAAAAAAAAAAAAATCTCCTGGGAAAAGATAGAGAATCTTTTCCCGATCATAATGACACCAAAAGTTTGAAATTTGATGGAAAACTTACGGAATTATGCTCCCGCAAAGTTAGCGGTCTCGGCAATGTTTACGCATCGGCGATTTTGCCCACTTTGAGCCCCATTTTCAGCCAATTCCACTGTATTAGTCGACAAAAAACATGAATATTTCGCTTGAACTCCATTTTTTCTATCGAATGGGTGCAAGAAACCACCCATTTATCAATTTCAACTATCCAGTACAGTGGTCAGAATTTAGCAATTTTGCCAATTTCACACAAATTTCAAAAGATGCCAATTTCCGAATAGGGTTCAGAATAAACAAGGACATTCCTGGCACTAAAATGACATTTCCTCTGGTCATTAGTCACTTCTCAAGGCTTCTCTTATATTCTTTTGCTTTCCACTTTGAATTTTTGTTCTCACAAAAATAGAAGATTTACTGTTATGCAGATTACTGCATTAGTGTAAAAAATGGTATAAATAATATTGGCGCACTTGTGAAAGAATATTAGACTCACCAGTTGACGTGTATTGGACGCTTGGCACGATTTGTATACTTTTGAAATTTGGTAAAAATCGAACATTTCTGCTATTTTGAGCTCAATTTCAAGGTACTTTTCATTGTGAAACCAGTCAAAATCATCTCAATTTCTGTAATATGTCTTCCATTCTATATAATGAGACCAAGAAAACTAGAATACAACAATAAATACCATACGAAAATACACTGCAAAGTCGCTGTTTTATTCCAAAAAAAAAAAAAAAAATGGTCGAAGTTTTTTTTTTTTCTCATTATGCACTGTGTGCTGCAGGATTTTTTTTTTAGACTGTGCACACTGACCACATAGACCCATTCTTTCATATGAAGGCCTACCAGCTTTCTCCCACTAGATTTGAGGGCGCTAGAATTTAGGTGTACTAGTACGTCTAAAACCCTGGGTCGTAAGCCGTACTAGTACGGCCGAAACCCTCAAAGGGTTAAGTCAGCCCATAATGCCTAGGCATGATAAGAGGCTCTCTTTGCACTGCAAACCCCTCAAGGAAGGTTCCTTGATGTTGGCGAGGGGCTCTTGATTTAGGGAATTGGATCTGTGCTCCAGTTCCCCGAATTAAGCCTGAATGCCTTCCACATCCCCCCCCCCCCAGGCGCTGTATAATCCTCTGGGTTTAGCGCTTCCCCCTTGATTATAATACTAATTTGCATTGCAACCCATTGTTGTAAATACATAACCTCAATGTACTACTTGCAAAGAAATAAATTTGAATTTAGACAGGAGGCACTGTATTACAGACCAGTTTCTGACATCCATACCTTGCAAGATAATGGAGAAACTTATCAAGGGAAGAGTGGTGGAACACTTGGATAGTAGTACAGTGGACCCCGACCAACGAAGGCATCGTCTAATGATAAAATCGCCTAGCAAGGCGTTTTAGCGTAAAAATTTTGGCCCAACCAACGATGAAAAACTCTACTAGCAACATTCGTCCTGAACGCGTCCATGTGTCCGTCTGGCCTGAGCGTGCCTTAGCTGCCCTGCCTTCAGTTAGTGTGCCAATGTTTACAAGCCAGTCCAGTCACATCCACGCATACATTCGGTACATTTTGTATTATTCCAGTGTTTTTAGTGCTTGTAACTGCTAAGTAAGCCACTGCTGGTGACTTTTACAATGACAATGTTGTGGACCACTTTAGGAAAATTTTTAAGGAATGTGAGGTACAGAGCTCTTTGATGAGGTTTTTGGTGCGACAGAGATCCAGTGACTCAAGTTGTTCCCAGTGGCATTAAAAATAGGGAAGTAACCCCCAAAAAAGGAATTGGTACCTAAAGTCCATATGGAAGGGGATTCCCTTTCCAAATAATAATACACCTCCATCTCCCCTCCCATCTCATCACTACATCTTCAATAAAGGTAAGTGTCATTTATTCTTCATTTAGTACAGTATTTATTGTGCATGTATCCTTTTTCTGTGTAGGAAAATGTATATTTCATGTGAAAAAAAAAATGTCATACTTTTGGGTGTCTGGAACAGATTAATAATATTTCCATTATTTCTTATGGTGAAAATTAATTAGGCTAACAAAAAATTTGCCTTAGGACAAGCTCTCTGAAACGGATTAATATTGTTGGTCGAGGTCCACTGTAGTTTCATAAACAATAACCAGCATAGATTTAGGGATGGCAAATCTTGTCTTGCTTGTGTGCTCGAGTTCTATGTCAAAGTAACAGATGTACAACAAGAGGGGGTTGTACATCTGTTACTGTGACATACAGTGGACCCTCGACCAGTGATATTAATCCATTCTGGAGAGCTCATCGTTAGACGAAATTATCATTAGTTTAATTAATTTTCCCTACAAGAACTAATGGAACTCAAATTAATCCGTTCAAGACACCAATAAGTATGAAAAAAAATATCTTTACCACACGAAATATACATTTTCCTACACACAAACAGAAGGATAGATGCACAATATATGTATACATATGTATATTGTGTAATGAAGAATAAATGACACTTACCTGGCCTTAAATTCACTTACATCACCACTAGTTGCAGGCATTTTTTTGTAATTAAATCGTCATGCAACTGCCTTGCCTTTTCACATACGATCGCTTGAGAGATGCTATCTTTTGATATCTGTTTTTCGTTTATCCACACCAATAACACTCAACATCTTCGAGTACTTGCGATCTGAGTTTCAAAAAGATACTTGCACCTTTTACAACAACAGCTTCCTTGATTGCCTTTCTGTTGGTCAAGATAGTAGCGATGGTTGATTGGGGTTTGTTATACAACCTGGCCAGCTCAGAGACAACCACTCCACTTTCATACTTTGTGATGATCTCCTTCATTTTGATTGTAATTCTCGCCCTTTTTACCACAGGGTTGGCACTAGAAGCTTTCTTGGGGCCCATGGTGCTTATTTTGCAGTTACAAACACTAAAAACACTGGAATAATACAAAATGTACCAAATGTATGCGTGGATGTGACTGGACTGGCTTGTAAACACTGGCACACTAACTGAAGGCAGGGCAACTAAGGCACACTCAGGCCAGATGGGACACGTGGACACGTTCAGGACGAATCATGTGGGTCGAGGTTTTCATCGTTGGTCGGGCCAAAATTTTT